TGGACACCAGCCAGCTTCGAGACTTTATGAACGAGGCGCAGACCACACTGCAGCTTCAGAAGTTGGGTACAATGCACCCTTACCGACTGAGGCATGGAGGAGCATCCTGCGACCTGTGGGAGCACCATCGCAACCTCGCCGAGATCATGAAACGAGGTCGATGGCGGGCAATGCAGTCCGTCCGACGCTACGAAAAGGGTGGCCGTCTGGCTCAGCTGATGTCCGCACTGCCCAAAGATGTTCAACAACTGGCCCAATGGGCAGCAGAAAACATCGAAGACCTCTTCAGCAACCGGCGCTTGCTCAGGCGCCTTCCATAGAATGTCCGATGTTCCTTGAGATCTTCAGTGGCAGTGGCAACTTGTCAAAGGCAGTCGTTCGTGTTTGTCACTGGAGTTGTGGGACTTTTGATATTCTGCATGGAAGTGAATATGATCTCAGATCTGGACGAAACCAGCGTCTGGTGAAAGGGTGGATTCGGTCTGGCTTAGTCAAATCAGTTCACCTGGGAATGCCTTGCAACAGTTTTTCTCACGCCCGGGATCGTAGACCTGGTCCTCCACCACTACGTAGTGACGAGCACCCCATGGGACTTGATAGCTTGAGACCATCAGATGAGCTCAAAGTAAGAGAAGGAAACATGTTCTTGAGATTTTGTTGCCAAGTTTGTCATTTGTGCATTTTACTTCATATACCTTTCATTTTGGAGAACCCTGCAACTTCACGAGCATGGCTATGCCCTCCTTTGCAAGCAGTCATGCGCAAGAAAGGGGTATCCTTTGTTGATGTGGACTATTGCGCTTTTGGCACCCGGTGGCGAAAGAGGACACGTTTCTTGTTCTATGGCGTTGACTTGTCACATCTTGCTGTTTACAAATGTCAGGGATCAAAACGTGGTGTTTGCAAATTTTCTGGCTTGCCGCACTTGGCACTGATGGGGGTGAATGAGGCTGGACAGTTTATGACTAAAGTTGCCGAACCTTATCCTCCCCAACTCTGTGTTTTGATTGCAAGGGCTTTGCTTGATTGGCACACCAAGACGATTGCTGATAATTTTTGGTCACGGCTTTGGCCAGATGGCGCAGCAAAGATGGGAAAATGACTTCTGCGATCTTTTTCTGCTGGCTATGATGGGTCCGCATCTGCTCAGCTGAGCTACTCTCTTAGCATCGAGAAGATCTCGTTGCTGGACGCATTGCGTGACATCCATCTGGCCTGGAGAAAATGGCAGCTGGGCTTCATATATGTTCTTGAACGAATTTGATGCATGAGTCTTTTTCGGATTGGCCGCGGACACCCACTCTCAAGCTCTCCCTCCTCCCCCGCCCTGGCTTGAAGTCAGGGTGGGTCCGCATCTGCTCAGCTGAGCTACTCTCTTAGCATCGAGAAGATCTCGTTGCTGGACGCATTGCGTGACATCCATCTGGCCTGGAGAAAATGGCAGCTGGGCTTCAATGAAGTAATATGATCGCGCGCCTATATTCGATGATAGGGAACAAGCTTTCCAAAAAGTCTTTGCAGGCACTTAGAACGCGCCGATGTCTGTTGAGTGCGAAAGAATTTCACATCGTGCATCTAGCACTTCAGGCTGATCTTCATGGACGCCAGGTTCGAAGGAGATAAACTCAAGCCTATACAGCGGGAATTGGTGCCGTGCTTCGCAATGAGACGGGTTAGTCCGTTAGTCCCGACAAGAAGAAGATGGGGATCTACGAATGTGACTACCTCGCTGAAGAACTTTGTTGCAGGTCAACATGTGCTTCTCTTTATCGATAAGAATGCAGCAAGAGACTCACGTGACGCCGATTTTCTCGTTAGCACACCCCACCCCACCATACCCATGATGCTGGTGATGCTTTGTGTGTAGGCTGCCCGGGGCTAATTTTGTAGCATGTGATCATGTGGCCATGGGCAAATCATTCCATTAGATCTCGACCCACCCTATCCTATCCCAACCCCACCCCCCCCCCACACACTTAATGGATATGCGTACTGACGTGACAGTGGTGCCACACGCCGGCCTAGGGTACCATTTCCTAAGAGTACAAGTGGGAAACCACTGGAACCTCGGGGTCCTGAAACGGAGAAGTGGCCCAAAGCGGAAGAAATCAAACGACGATCACGGGTCGAACAGGATGACGGCGGGCCGCTCGTGTCTGCCAATGCATTAGCCCTGTTTCAAAATCTTAAAATTCAAGCAGGTACACAGAGCTGATCAGGCTCTGCTTCCCAGATGCAAGGTAGCTTTGTTAGGCGCAGTCCCTTGCATCTGCTGCGCCCCCCTGCTGAAAAACGAAAAAAAAAGGGAAAGAAAAAAGAAACTACCACAATCCGACTGGATCCCTGTGACTACAAGGGGCACACACACAGACACAGACACAGACACACACACACACAGACGCACACACACACACACACGATTCTCTCAATTTACCACACTTCTAATCCAGCCCAACCTCAGACCGCAGTGAAGCGGCCACCCTCAGACCATAGAGAGCTGTGTGTCTCGGTTGTGCACGGATGTAAGATGTGATGATGTGGCCATGGGCACCCCACCTCACCTCACCCCATCCATGATGCTGGTGATGCTGTCGTCGCACGTGATCTGAAAAGTATCATCGCAAGTGAACGGTGGACCCTCACGGATCAGCTCTCAGCCGACCAGTGCAGTATAGCACATCAAACAATGACATCCGTTGGACCTTGAGTGCACAGCAGGACTGTTCGCTTGGTTCGCGAACGGGCTGTGAAACAGATGGTCCCTGATACGCCCCTCATGGCCCGCTTGAAAGCTACTAGGGGGAGTTGCAGCCTTGAAGAGGTAGTCAGGGGCCTGTGTCTTCCAAGAGGGGGAGTCCCATGACTGCCCCTTCTGTGACAAAAGGGCGTGCCTTTTCATGTGTGGTTGCAGCGTGGATTGGTGCTTGAAGTAGCCTTCTGAAGGTTAGCATCTTAAGAGCCGGTCCAAATCGTGAGTTGAACGAAACGCTGCACGTTTCTCGCTTAAGACTTGAACTCGTAATGCCACATTTATGATGTAAAGCTGGCTGGTTTGTTAAATGCTCTTAGTAATAGCTTTTGTGCTTGACCGCCCTGTGTGCCACTTCAGTTTTGTGCCATCTACTCTGAAACATTCTGAAACCACTGTAATAAATCCAGGTTAACCTGCTTCAATCCTTTGGTTTGTGCACTGTTTCTTGTCGGTCGATCTTCTAGTGCGATGGCATGGGTTCCTCTTCTCTCCTCAGGTGATGGCTCTGGCAGGCCGCGCCATCGCGCGGCGTGAGTGATGCCGTGTGGTTTCCAGTTCATCAGCCATCAAGCACGAAGTGGAAAGGTCCGGGGGGTGCTGAAGATTTGGACGTGTTACACGGAACCCTGGATCGATCCTGAAGCTTCGCCGAAAGGGGTTTCCCCCCAGTTCCGGTGCTGAAAAAAGGGTCACAAACAGGTCGCGACTGCTTCGACTGAGTTGACTACGAGTGTTGTGCTGGGAACGGATGCGACGAGCTTGGATGGTGGAGGTGGCTCCGGAGCACAAGTAGCAGGGCATGTTTGCCAAGACCAGTGTCCGCTTTGTAGATGTTTTGTTGGGTCACGGCCCACCCCATGTTTTTCCAGCATTCACCCGGGTTTGGCAAACTGGGACCCACACGGTTTTTTCCTCACATCTCAGGCTACCATCCACCCCCATGCTCGGACGCGGCAGGTTGAACACCTCGAGGCGCTCGGTGCGCCCTGCCCCACCCACCGAGCGGCGCGAACGTCGACGTCGCGAAGACCTGGAGAACCACGGCAGGGCGGTTTTTTGGTGCGGAAGACCTGGTGGTGGAAACTAGGAGAAGTCAATTCGATGGGTTCTGATGGAGGGTCACTTCAAAGCGAGAAACCAGGAGAACTCGGCATATGCAGCAATGCCATCAACTTGGGGGTTTTGGACCAAGTGTGATCAAGATTGGCAACATTCATACAGGCCAAGCAATCCATGTTTGGTTCATTGGCAGGAGTGAATAGTCATGTGTTTTCTTTGTAATTATAAATGTAATTAACATTCGAGGTCACAGTTCACAAACCCCTCATCAAGGACATGACATGCAACAATTTCGCTTAAGACAACACCCAATTTGGCTGTGCTCAGGGCACTAGCGATGGAAAGAACGCTTGGTGCATGCAACAAGTATTTTCCCAGTTTGGGATGGTATTGCAGGTAAGGATTTCAGGATGTCACCAATAGCTTTCATTTAGATGTCCAATGTGCCCTTCCCTTACTGGTTAGGTTGCTTGCCTTGTCCCATATTGTCTTCCTTTAGAGGGACCATTCTCAGGTTCTGTGGGACTGTTTGTAACGGTTGTCAAGACTCTCAAAGCGGTAATGCTGTTTGTATTCTTCTGCGTTACGTGATTTAGAGTATCTGATTGGCCTGCTTGTCTTAGTAACTGGACATGATCAGCGTTCTTGTTTTTGTGGACCAGCATTCCATGCGCGCAATCCTTGCAAGCAGGCCTGGCTTCTAACATAAATAGACATGGCTCTGCAAAGAGAAGATCTCGTAATGAATCTTATAAGGAATCCCTTCCACTTGAAGCATGCAAGTGAGTTTTGCTGATGATAAACACTTCTTGGGCCCCGGCCCTGGCATTCTTTTTTCAAAAGCATCGGAAGCCAGAATCAAGAGAGCTCCTACACTTGAGGCACATGCCACAGTTGATGATGCCTTTTGTGATGAGGCTTTTCTTTTTCGTCCGGGGGTCAATCGCCAGAACCACTGCGTTTGATGCTCATCAATCGCCATCGTTGTCAACTCGCAGGGTCCGTGGTCCCAGCACGCGGTCCCCTGTGGTCCCTCCCACATCGTCACACCTCGATCCCTACACCTGGTTTTGCGGATTTGAGGGGTTTTATTGTGGATGTTTTATAGGTAAATCCCCAGACCTGGGGACAACATGCCATATTTCTTTGCAAGGCTTCCTGGTAACAGCAAATGCCGACCACCTGGCGCGATTCGTCCCCAAAAACATCTACCACACGATTCGCGCCATCCTTCGCCATCCGTGTGGCCATCCGTTGCCATGGGTTTCCTTGAAGAGGCGATCCTGGAGTTTCACGGCGTTTTCGTCGAAAGGAGGGTGCTTCAGCTTTCAGCGTTGACCGGTCATTGCTTTGTTTTTTTTTGTGGTAGCCTTCCACGATCTGTTTTTTGCAAAGGGTGAACCTTGTTTTCTACTTGTAATGAATTGAAATCCTTAGCAAACTAATAGGTTGTAAGTTAAGAACCCCCTTAATGGTGCTGGGGTTCCTTAAATTAAGGGGGTCTGTGAGCAAGATTCTCCATCCTCCATGCTCGCCCGCCGCAGCCGGTCGCGCGCCCGACCCCCGCCCGTGCGGCGAGGCCACGCCCATGTCCTGGGCGGAAAGCCAAAAGCACTTCGAGGCACTCAAGGCGCCTTCGACGCGCGGAGGGTGTCGGTGGCACGGGTGAAGCGGTTGTGCCGGGTAGGTCGATCGGTTGGGGCTTACAGGAAGTCGCACAAGTTGAGAGTCAAGTCTTGAACCTCTCTTTCTTTTGTTTTATATACTAAAAAGACATCCGGCCTTGCAAAAGATGTCAACGACAGGGGTAGAACCTCATGTTACTCAGGAACCTCTTTCACCATGAGTGGATAGATCCGTGGACCCACCCCGAGGATCAGTCGACTTCAACCGTTGTCCTCGGCCAGACGATCCATCGGAGACGTCCTCCACTGACCCATACTGACTCACGAAGATAGTGGAAGATCGTCTTGAAAAAGCAGTGCTCCACACGTCGCTCCACACGTCCATCACACATCCATCACGGCACCGGTAACGTTCCACACGGCGTTCGTGCGCGAGTTCGTGGCGAGGCGAATGGCATCGAACAGTTCCTGACGGTGGCACACTCCGTCGGGTGGTGATGCTGGTGGAACTCATACGGTCGATTCTCGTGTTGTCCCACCTGCAACTGGTTATTGTTATATAGTTTCATGGACTTCGGCCACCCAACCTGGATTGTGAACACAACTTCTGTAACTAGCTTCGCTACTAGCTTTGCTTGGAATGGCACGAAATATTTGCGTCAACCATTTCTTCATGTGTATGAGACAGCATAATATTTCAAGTTTTGTCAGATTCAGAATGCATTCTATCATCATTACTCTGACAGATTCAGCATATTCTCGAATAATAGATACTCTGAATAGATTCTATACTCTAACAGATTCAGCATCTATATCTTTCCCCTCAAATGGATACTAATAGCGATGGCCTCCAATCTAATAGCGATGGCCTCCACCGTGCGTAGCGTCCTGTTTTCCTACTAATTCAAAAACAAAGAACCGTCTCAGTCCCCTCAGTCCCCTCTCCCCAATGCGCCTCTCATCGTTTTGAAGCCCATCAGGTTCTAAATGACCATCACGATCGAAAGAAGCGATCTCCGTCCCAAGATTTGGGATCCAGGGGGGATCTTCCAGTAGTAAAAGATAATCCGCAAGCTTGGATTTGTTTGCAGGCGAATTGAATTAATTTGGCACTTGGTGATGTATGGCAGCTCCCTCGATGGCACGATGCTGGCAGATCTGGCGGCAGCACTCCGAGCGGGAGGACCAGGAGATGCTGTGGGGCGACGAACAGGAGACCGCGCTTCGTCGGACCAGGTGCAGCAGGTTTCGTCTGCGTAGACGCGGGTTTGGTGCGACATCTCGTTCCGGAAAAGAGGTAGGAATGTACCAGGACCTTCCAAGAGGTGTCTAATAAACTACCCCCTTCTTATAAGCCTCGAGGCTTATTTCAGAAGGGGGTATCAATCATTCTTGGGCGAAGCTGGAATGAGAGACAGTTGATTTGATCAAAACAAATCCGGACCACCTTCAGTACGTGACCTGAGATACGAGCGAATGAGGTCACGAATCGTGATCCGTCGTGCCGGGGCGAGGCCGATCGGTGAGGATCGGCGCCAACGGAAATGGCACGACCCTCCGGTTGTATATACCATACCTAATATACTGCGAATGATAACATGGTGGATTAGTTGTTGGTTCAGCTGTTGGCGAGTTGGGTGACGATGCTTGGCGCATCCGGGTGCAGCGCCTGGGTCCTGGACCCCCACACCGAAGCGCCATGGACGAGTCCCTGCGATACCGGCACAAAGTCATGTATGGGTCACTTGCTCCGTTCGTAGCGTCCGAACGCTCCGTTCGGTTCGCGATGCCAGGGTCGCCCCGTTCGTAGCGTTCTTGCTCCTAGTAGTAAGGCCAGGAGCCCTGTTCGTAGCGTCCGAACGCTCCTCGTAGCGTAGTATCGCATTTGGTCATTTGTTTGGGTAGGCTTCCAAGGCTTCCAGAGTCGCCTGTCAGAAGGTCAACAAAAGGGTATAACCGGGTAGGCTTCGGAACGGAATGGGATCGGACTTTTCGCCAAGAGCAAATCGGATCCCTATCGGTTGCCCCCCTGGCCTCGCTCTCCGTATGGTTTGTTTCGGGGGTCCCGGACGTGGACGGTGCCGTGTCGACTTGCAGACGGCCTATTTATTAAAAACTGTATATATCCGTTCTTTTGGGTCGGATGCCTTGATCAGAATGACATGTGAAAGTGGCAGCCATGGCACCGGAAAAGGTCCCTCTTGCTCGTTTTTGGACACGAAATCCAGTCGGAAGCAAGAACTGACCAATTCGTAGGTTCTCGCAACAAGTTGGTTGTGTTCCTTTTTCCGGAAAGTACGATGCACGCGTTTCTTTTTATATTTTGTCTGACTTTATCTCAGTCATCCAATGGGTGTCCAATGCAGGTCCCAAAGCAGTGGACACCCAGACAGGATGGTCCAGAATCAATCTGACTAATCCCGTCCACCTATTAATAAACACGGCCCTCCCCTATTAAAAAGAACTCGGTCGCATTTTTTCTAATAGGGGGTCCCTGAAATCGGGGGGTCCAAAATAGGGTCACCTGGAAAGAGTTTCAAACAAACGGGAAATCCAGTAAAAGTTTTTTTAAACTCGTATCAAAAATGCAAAAACCTCCAGATCGAAGGGTCTTCCTTTTCCCCTACAAAAACCTTCATTAGCATAGTGATTCTTCAGTAGACTAACAGCTAAAGCTTTCGAAAGGTGATGTCGCTGTGCCATGCAGTGTTGCATGACCTCGGTGGCAAGTGCGTTTGCGTGAGTCCATGCCAATGGGGGAAGGAAAGCCTGCTGGTGTAAGCACGGCGTGTCATGGTGGAGTTTTGGGGAACCTACTAATTTAAACAAGATGGAACCCACGAACCCGAATGCAAACACGTTCGAAAAACTAATATGTCTAAATGACACTCTTGTAGGACACTCTTGTGGGACACTCTTCTGGGACACTCTTGTAGGACACTCTTGTAGGACACTCTTGTGGGTCAC